GTCGGGGGACTTTTCGGGAAATCCTACCACACACACTCAATGTATGAGGGAGCTATGTAATTCTTTTATAGTAGTATATCGGGGAGTCAGAGGGGGGTCACTTTCCAGCAAGGCTATCACAGTCCCGGAGCGAATAGCAGGCGGCCTTGCCAACATGCTAAGTGACCCAAGCTTGTTCCAAGGTCGGGGGGCGTACAGTCGCGGCCTTGCCAACTCACTGAACCGACCGGAAGCGATGCTCAAAGGTCAAGGGGCTCAGACAGGTCCTGGAGCCCCACCGGGTTGGACTCCTCCAGAAAATCACACCCAGTGCATGTGCATGTGTGCCCCAAATCCTGAGAGGAGAATGGAGAAGGGATTATGGTGTGGCCGTCCCCTTGGGGGTGATTTCTCACTTTCTCTTTCCATCTTTCTCTGGCAAATGTGTGTGCCCGATAGCAAAACAATAAAAGAAAGAAGTGATCTCATTCAGTTTGGTTATTATGCTTTTCATTTCTCCTTAGGCATATCACCCCTGAAAAGTTTTATGTGGAAGCTTGTGATGATGGAGCGGAGGATGTCCTTACCATTGACCGTGTGTCCACAGAGGTCACCGTCGCAGGTATCTTCGAGCCAGAGTCGTCGTGTCTGAGGAAGAGTGTGCTGCAGCCAGTGAGGTCACACACGCAGGGACACGGCAGCGTGCCAGTCTGAGTGTCATCCTGCTCAGCCTTAATCATTGCTCCTTAATCTTCGGAGTTAATTTTATGCTCTCTTATTCTCATGAAAAAGAGAAATGATCTTGAAAATTTTACTACCTGTAAGGATTTAAAACTCTGATTGTATCTTTGTTTAGTTATCTTATGATTTAGATGTCTAAACTCCTTTCTAACTCTTAAGATTTAGGGTATTAGAGTGTGGACGTTTTTCAGCTTTAAGTAGGTCATTTTAATAGTTACTTTTGTTTTTGTTTGAAATGATTATGCTTGTGAGGATACTTCAGTAAATGAAAAGTAAAGTGTACTTCACAGACTGAAACTCGTTAACTATTGTGAGCAAATGATGCCCATAAGCTCCGTCTCTGTATCCAGCTGATGGTGGTTTTTTCCCTCTGCAGGAGGTAAAAGGCTTTTTTTTTTTTTTTAAGTTGTATGGAACACTTACATTTTTTTAAAGACTTATTTATTTATTTATTTATTTATTTATTCTTCTTTAATTTGATTAGAGAGAGGGAAGTGAGAATGTAAGCCACCAGGTCCAGGACTTGATCCATGGTCAGCTATGTGGGAATCCGATGCCTTAACCACCGTGCCACCTGTTGGCCCATTTTTAAAGAATTATTATTTATTTTACTTTTTTTTTTTAAGTTGATCAGAGAGACAGAGAAAGAAAGGGAAAGTGAGCAATTAAGCTGTCTGGTCTGGGACGCAAACTCTGGTGTGTCATGTGAAGGCCCAGTGCCTTACCCACCATGCCACCTGCCAGCCCCACACTTTGGTTTTTTAATAGATTAATGTGAAACAATTTTGGCGTCAGATTTATGTTCTGTGTGATACTACATTTAAGATTTCATATTTCATTTGTTTGAAACTTCCAGTTCCCCTGCAGCCAGAGTTGTGTATGCGTTTTTTTCCTCAAGTATAATATTTGAAAACCATAGACTAGGCTTTTAGTAGCTACCCTTTGAATGGATGAAGTGAAATATGGAAGAGTTCTCAGCAGGAGAGTAAACCGTAAAAACAGCACAGCTGTAGAGTTTCTGTTTCCTCAGCTAGCTGGTTATTCTGGTAAGTACCGTGTGTGGTTCTCCTCGGATCCAGTGGAGTTCGGGCTGCTTCGGTCTGATAATTCGGCAGTCCCTGTCGGTGGCTCGTGGCCCTCCTGTAACACACCGCTTCCTGCTGGCCACTGCACCTGGTCTTCGACGCGCTTTGGCGGCGGCGTATTTCCAGTATTTCTGACCTTTCAGTGATGTTGTATTTGTAGGTAGAGATTGCAGGCCTTTTGAGTAGACCGAATGCTAAAGTCCCGCGTCGTTTGGCTACAGAGGGGATGGTACCAAGCTGTCCTCAGTAGACACCCGGCGAGTGGCCGTGGCGCACAGGCGCAGCGGGGAGGGACTGGCTCGCTGAGTTTCATCAGGAATGCAGAGGGTGCTCGCCGAGAGAGCTGCCGTGTGTCCTAGGGCGTCTCACAGTTTCACTGCTGTACGTCCCAGGCAGTGTGACCCAGAGCTCTGAGTACACTGAAGTTACCGGATAGTCTCGGTGGATTAGGGTCTTCTCTGAGCTTTTCTCTGAGCTGATATTCCTGTTTCTCACGTTAGCCATAGTGGCATACCATTGCTAAGTAAATCGAATTAAAAGAAGCAGAAGTGCATTTTCGACCTTATTCTGAACTAGCTATTTTTAAAAAGCCGAGTCTGCCACGTTGTGCTCCTTCTGCCCTAGCCTCTAATTTGGGACTGCAGGCACGTGCCGCCACGCCTGCTTTTGTTTTCGCTTTTTTTTCATCCTTAGTTAGTGCTCACAGTAATTGCCCAGGCTGGCCTCAAACTTACAATCCTTCTGCCTCAGCCTCCCCAAGTCACTGGATTACAAGCACATGCTGCCATGTCTGGTCTTTAGGTTGGACTAGAAATCGAACCCAGGTCTCCTGTGTATCCTCAGTCTGCAGAGCACAGCTCTTAGCAGTAGATGCCGTCACAGTTGGGCCCCAGAATTACTTCATTTAGAATAATAGAATTGCTGTTAGGATTGCCGTGAAGAACCAGGGCTTGAGTTTATGATAGTGTTTCTAAAATGAGTTTAAGGATGACGGGAAACTGTAAGCGCAAAACTAGTTTTATAGCTGGGTGAAGGTGACAACTTTGGTGGGACAGCTGTTGTTTGCTGTAGACTTTCTCAGGATGTTTATTCTCCCGTGCATTGTGACTCCCTCTAGGAGAGACAGTGGAGGGAATTGGGGATATAGCGAAAGACTCCTGACTGTGGGGACCCCCTCACCCCCACCCCATACACTCCTGGACTTATTTTTTAAACTAGAGTTTTGTAAGATGTTTATGAAACACATTGACCTAAAGCTTTAAGAATTATAAAAGGGGGACCAGGAGATGGCATAATGGTTACGTCGTTGGACTGCTGCATAGTCGACTGTGGTTCATGTCCCAGACCCTGCAGCTTAAAACTCATGCTGGGTATGTGTGCATGCGTGCCCAAGGACCCAAGAGGTGAATGGAGAAGGGATTGAGGCATGGCCATACCCCCCGGGGGGAGATTTCTCGCTTTCTATCTCTCTGGCGGGTACACATGCCCTATAGCAAAAATCTCTCTTTTAAAAAAAAAAAAAGAATTATAAAGTGAACTCTTTAATTTATCGTAGAACACTATTTTATTCATAAGGGCGTTTTTATAAAGTGAGGGTCAGTGGTGATGCCCGGTTTAAACCTGTATAAATTGCTGTTTGACTCGGGTTGGGGAGAGGCTTTTCCTTCCCGCCTCCTTCCTCGGATCTTTGCCTCTATTTCCTGCATTCTCATATTTTTGGATATGGATGGAGAGAATTTCTTCCTCTTTTTTTTTTTTTTTGCATTCTGTTAGCTGTATGTTAGATTAAAAACTCGTCTCAACCCCTATCCTGATTTATTCTCTACGTCTCTTAAAGAGTGGGTGTAGGTAGTCTCTGGGCAAGAGTTTGAATAGATTGGGCTGAGAAACCCCACAATCTACCTGACGAAGAGGAAACACACTGAGCTCCGCATTCTAGACGAGCAGAGGCCTACCCTCTACGGGACACGGACATCTTTGTGCTCAGCCGAAAGAGAGGTTCAGCAGCAGTACCAGTAGCCACTGGAGTCAGACTAAATCTTCATTTCAGTGGGCAAGCTTTTTCTGTGTGTTCTTTCTTAATTTCTGTTGTCTTTTTCTTTTAAAGTCAAGAAAGATGTCCCTCCTTCAGCTGTCACAAGACCAATATTTGGTATCCTGGGCACAATCCATTTGGTGGCAGGTAAGAAGGAGTGAGCTAAGGGAAAGGAAGGGGACCGTACCGGCAGTTCGGGTGTGTAAGATGAGGACGTACTTCTGCCGTGCTCTGGCAGTAAATCTCCAGGTCAGATGCTTGTCATTCGTTTCTGAAAGTTGCCAGTTTACTCTCCAGATGGTTAAGTTTATCAGTCTGAGGTCCGAACTTTTTAAAGGGTTTGTGTTTAGTTTTATCTCAGCCAGAGCCGGAACCCTGAGTTGGCAGAACATTTCCCAGGAGTATTTAAATAAGACTTGAAAGCGGTGACAGACCGAGGTGTGCCCCGCCTTCAGCCCTATACGGCGAGTAGCAGAGTGAGTGCTCGGTTCCCAGTTATTGGGTGACTTACTCAGCTAAATTCAGGCTCATTGAGCGTTCTCGGAGTCCTCACGTTGCAGGCTCTGTACGGGATGCTGAGGTAAACGGCGCAAGCCTCCCATCCTAGTGCATGGGGCCTTTTATTATTTTATGAGGAAGGAATTGGCCTCCTACTAGGCTAAACATATGCTGGTCTTTCTAGTCATAGATTATAAGATTGTTTACCAAAAAATGGGCCATTTTATCTTTTATTTGGTGGGAGAGATTTTCATATGGGGCGTGTGCACTCTCTGGAGACACAGAGAGAGACAGACAGAAAGCAAGAAATCACCCCCGGGAGGATGGCCTGCCACAGTCCCTTCTCCTCCGGTCTCTAATTGGGATCTTGGGCACGCACGCACAAGCCCGGTGTGAATTTGAAGCTGTCAGGTCCAGGACTCGAACCCCAGTCGACTACGTGGGAGTCTAGGGACATAACCATGATGCCATCCGCTGGTCCCCAAAGTGGACCTTTTTAGCTGAGTAATGCAATATGATTTTATTCTGGTAGCCTTTAAATAATAGGGACTACTACTTTTGACTTTAAAGTTGCCTTTTTAAAATTTATGTCTTAACTTTGTTGTTTTGCAGGTAATTATCTAATTGTCATTACCAAAAAGACAAAAATAGGTGAATTTTTCAATCATGTAATCTGGAAAGCAACAGATTTTGATGTCCTTTCTTATAAGAAGACAATGTTGCACCTAACTGATATTCAGGTAAGAACTAGAAGCAGTTGCTAAACTGCAAACCCTGAGGAAGTGGGGGGTCCTGCAGAATACAGAGAATGTGGGAGGGCTTCCCGTAAGAGGATGACTAAGTAAGATAGAGAGTAACTTTGTCCTATCTACCTTCCACCTAGCTACAGAAACAGAGTAGTTTCCAATTGCTGCACGCTCGCCAGAGTAAAAGCACGCTCCCCGGCCTCCCCACTTCATGCTGCAGTTCCGTCTCCACTTCTCTATCTCTTTGGAAGTTTGGGAAGGCATGCACATGCGCCTCACATGTTTTTCAAGCTGCTGGGGCCAGGATGTGAACTGCAGTTAACTTAAGTGAAATCTGGCTCCCTTAAACTCTAACCTATGGGTCAGTCCCACAAAAAACAACAACTACAAAAAAAAAAAAACCTGTAAAATTTTTTCATGTACTTGCTATTCTCTGTTTTATAATTTTTAAAAATGAACTCAATTCTCAGTTTATAAAATTTCACATGGAGAGGAAAAAAAATGACCAGGAAATGCATATATATGTACTTAACACCCAGATTTAACTGTATATCTTCTTTGTACATAAATAAAATATTAGATACCATTGCATCTAATATTTTACTGACCTCATTTTTCCCAGGGGAAAGTCCATGTTTATCATATATGATTAAGTACATATGTGTGAAACATGTATGTACATTTTTAGGTAGCTCTTCTCTTTGCATGACTCCTGTATACACAGATTTTAGTTTCTGTGGTTAGTTACTATCCATCTCCAAAGAACATGACTTAAATTTCATATTTTAGGACCAGCAGGTGTCATGTGGTTAAGGCAGCTGCACAGTTTGAGTCCTGGGCCTGGTGGCTTGAAAAATCACGCCGGCTCCCACCTAAAGTCCTGAGAGGAGACTGGCAGAGGAGGGATTTGGGCGTGGCCATCCCCTCTGGGGGTGATTTCTCATCCTTTCCCCATCTCCCCACCTAGCTCTCTCTGGTGAGCACCCACACCCATTAGCAAAAACTTTAAAAAAATTATGTTAAATGAAGAATTAGTCTATGGGTGAAAGTTGAGAGAAACAAAAAGTTCTAGCAGTGGAAGTGAAATTGAAGTTGAGGGCCGGCAGATGATGTGGTGGTTAGGGCTCTGGACCCCCACGTGGCGGACCATGGTTCAAGTCCTGCACCTGATGCCTCACTTCTCACTTTTCCTCCCTCTCTCTCTCTCTCTCACTCATTCTTCCCCTCTCTGGTCAAAATTAAATAAATAAAGTTAAATAAAATAGCTCTTAGAAAAAAAGAAATTGAAATCGAACATAAACAGAGCATAGAAGTGGCGACCCCAGGAGTGCTGAGGCCGTCACCATAAAGGAGATGCTGGCTGTGCAGCCAGAGACTCGGCAACGTGAGCCTGCTGAAGTTAGGGATGCAGTGACCGCCAGGGGAAGACCACATCCCAGAACAGGGGCGCCTGCTGCTGTCTCCATGGCTGAGGAACCCTGGGAGGTCTTAATGAACTCAGAGCTCTAAGGATACAATGTTACAAGCTGGTTTTGGCTTAGAAGGGTGTCTGAGCTCACTGGGGACAGAAGAAGTCCTCCACATGTAAGTTAAACGACAGGAGAGGGACCACGCAAGCACTGCTGAATTTCTCTGGATACATTTCTTACAAAGATAGAGAATATTTTCAATATTTCTAATGTTTAAAATTACAGTGTGCTAAATAAATGCCAGTTTTACTGTTTTTTTCTATACATTTATAACTTATAGTAAGAGTTTTTAATGTTCTGACCAAAAGTTTTCAAAGGTCACCTAGCATAGCTTTTCGTTTGAGTATTAAGCAGCCACAAGGTTGCTAAGGTGAAGGCGGCAGGGTCCGCTTTACCGTCTGTTCCCACCGTGCAAAGTGACACTGCCTGGGGACTGCTCAGATAGGGCTTGCTTGAGGGACGTGTGAAACTTTCGGAATGGCATTGCCGCATTCTTGTTTTCAGAGCATACGCTTTTGGAGTCAAATTATATTTTGAGATTTGTACCTATTGGGAATTTTTTTTTTAAATTATAGTGTTTGCTTTTTTAAAATTTTAAGTTGTATTATTATTATTATTATTTTTGGAGAGATTTTTCACTATAGGGCATGTGCGCTTGCCAGACAGAGAGAGAGAGACATAGAGACAGAGAGCGTGAAATCACCCCCCCCAGGGAAGATGGTCACGCCGCAATCCCTTCTCCTCCATTCTCCTCTAGGGATCTTGGGCACGCACGCACATGCGCCTGGCGTGAGTTTTAAGCCACCGGGTCCGGGACGTGAACTGCGGTCGACTACGTGGGAGTCCAGCGACATAGCCATTACACTAACTGCTGGTTCCCAGTTGTATTATTTTTAAAGACTTACTTACTTTTAATTTTATTATCATTATTCAATTTTGGCCAGAGAGAAACAGAGAGAAAGGGAGAATGAGAAAGCAAGCTGTCAGGTCCAGGACTTGAACTGTGGTTGACCATGTGGGAGTCCAGCACCTTAGCCACCATGCCACCTGCCAGCCCCTTAAGTTATATTTTTTACTCTTAAGATTACCAAAATATTTGTTCCTGAAAGAAAATTTATTATTCTAAAACATGTAGCTTACTTACCATAAACATCTACTTAAAGAATATTTTTTTTTAAAAAAGTATATCTTTATTTAATTTTATTTGTTACTATTTTTTAATTTGACCAAAGAGACACAGAGAGAGAGAAGGGGAATCAAACCATGGTCAGCCATGTGGGAGTCTAGCACTTTTAACTACCATGCAACCTGCCAGTCCCAGAATCTTTTTTTCTTTTAAGAATTATTTAATTTCATTTGTTGTTATTATTTTTTAATTTGACCACAGAGATACAGAGACAGAGAAGGAATGTGAGAAAGCAAGCCACCAACTTCAGAACTTGTACCATGGTCAGCCATGTGGGAGTCTAATGCCTTAACCTTGCCATGCCACCTGCCAGCCCCACCTATCAGCATAAAAAATGAAATCATAGCAATATCTTAAGTGATTAAACCATAGGATATGCTTTTTATGCTTAAGGATTTTTCATCTTTTATACATATATATGTGTATATATATACACACTTGCACACATACGTATCACACAGTATATCATACATCAGTGTACTCATTTTCCATGAGGCATGATACTTTAAAGGAATTAAAATGGCTATATTTATTTAGTAGCCCCATAGTATTTATTTGTTCAGTTTATACTTTTTTTTAAAGAATTAATTTATTATTATTTTTAAATTTGCTATAAGGTACATGTACTTACCAGAGAAAGAGAGCCAGAGAGAGGGAAAGTGAGAAAGCAAGCCCCCAAGTCTGGGACTTGAACCGCAGTTGGCCACATGGGAGTCTAGTGCCCTAACCACCATGCCACCTGCTGACCCCAGTTTATACTTCATTGTGAGGCCGTGAAGCTAATGTTAGCATTGGTCACCATGTGTGCTTTGTTTTTTACCTTTTTTTAAAAAAGAATGTCTGAACTAAAATGTAAAATGTTGTAATATTGTAGTATGTCGATTTATAACATGTAGGTTAACATATTAATCATTTGTTAATCATTAAATGTTACCAAACATTAACCATTATTTTTTTTTAGAGGTTTTTTTCCTATAGGGTGCGTGCTTTCCGCCAGAAAGACAGAGAGAGACAAAGAGACAGAAAGCGAGAAATCACCCCCCGGGGGGATGGCCACGCCACAATCCCTTCTCCTCCATTCTCCTCTCAGGATCTTGGGCACGCACACACACGCGCCCAGCATGAGTTTAAGCCACCGGATCCGGGACTCGAAATGCGGTCGATTGACTACATGGGAGTCCAGCAACATGGCCATTACTCTAACTGCTGGTCCCAGCAATTACTTTTTGAAAGAAGGATGAAAAGCAGATGTTTATTGAGAAGGCAGCTTAAACGATTACCCAAAAATAAAGCTGAATAGTGCTTTTGGAGATTTGTTTTTTTAATCTTTAAATTAATTCTTTAATAATAAAGAATTCTATTTTACTTCTCATTCAACTCAAACCAGTAAAGTTTCTTGAGAATGAATATGATGAGGTTAATCCCTTGGTATATGCTGTCTGTGTTACTGGACCCCTCATGGATTTGTTCATTCGTCCAGTGAGAATTGTGCTGCCCTGGCAGGTCGCTGTAAAGACGGGGGTGTATGCAGCTGTGTGGTGTGCACTGCGTCCCAGCCTGAGGTGACCCTGTCGTTAGGGCAGTGCCTCTGCCCTTTGGGCGCAGATTTACACAGGACACCCAAAGCAGGGAGCTCTGCCTGCTCGAGTCACGAGTTACCAGCACCCTGCAGTATTTACTGAGTATCTTCCATCGGGATCTGACCTAGGTCCCCGGGAAATAAATGAGAGTGTCCGTCCTCAGGCCAGTGGTGTTTAACCGCCTGGACCTAAAGATTCTTATTTTCATTCTGTGCGACAGATTGCTTTTCAACTCTGAGATACGCTGACTTTTTCCGCTTCTGTTTACAGTTACAAGATAATAAAACCTTCCTAGCAATGCTTAACCATGTCTTGAGCGTGGATGGGTTTTACTTTTCAACCACGTATGATCTGACCCATACTCTGCAACGACTGTCGAACACTAGTCCAGAATTCCAGGAGATGAGTCTCTTGGAAAGGGTGAGCTTGGCCTTCAGTTACTAATTTTCAACCCTTCTGTCTTTGTACTTTTCCGGACTGTGTGTGCACTCACCAGGCACAGGTGGGGGGGGGCACACTACAGCCCCTTCTCCGTTCTCCTTTTGAGATTCAAGGCTTGTATGCAAATGCCCCTGGTGTGTTTTTCAAGCCACTGGGTCAGGGATGCCAACTGTGCCGGCAGCCATGTGTTTTAGCAACTTGCCCCTTACACCGGGTCGTCGGAAAAGTCATGATGCATTTTTACATAGAAAAGCAGAAAAATGCATCATGTCTTCTGACGACCCAGTATCAAGTTATATCCTAAGTCATAAGACATTACAGGAATAGCAGTTTGTTCTTAGTCGTGTTCATGAAACACTGAGTTAGACCACACCATGAAGAGTGACAGCTGTGACGGTACAGGCCCCCAGGGACGCACACCAGAATCTCAGTGCAAGAGTCACCTGGTCGTGGCCAAGCACGGGGGCCGTCCTGTGCCGGGCGGGCGTGTGACTTGGTTGGTGGGCTTAGAGAGTAGAGAACTGGTACCAGGTAGAGGTTGTTGAGGGAGCTGCCTCTGTATTTATCGTGTTTTAAGCTGTATACATATATTTAACGTATTTATTTATTTATTCTGTGAGCGAGAGAGAGAGCATTCCCAACAGGGCATGGGCATCGCCGTGCGCCCCCAGTTCTCAGCCAAGCCCGGATCACGGGCAGGCATGTGCCCACTGCACGCAGGGGGGCCTCTGGACTTGAACCAGGACCTTCCCCTGTGTGCTGCCGTGTAGAGCGTCGCGTCTTACCGCTGAACC